TAGCACCTGCTGTGTTTTTTGGGAAAATATTTGTGGAAATATTCTTGCAATATAGTTTTACCTTCCTAATTCTTAAATTGCCTGGCAATTATTCTTGTAGCATGTTAGAAACTGTAAAATATAAATGAGGGACAGCTGGATGTCTCTTTAATAAAATTTAGGCCAGAGCTCATTTTATGTTAGATCACACTTGAGAGATTGGGTGCAATTCATAAATCCCTAAACTACCATTTTCTGGGTTCAGCATTACACTACACCAAGCAGAAAAATAAAAAGGTAAAAAAATGGGACCAAATAATTGTACCTGTGTTATTTTCTTGTATTAAATTTAAACTAAAGGGGGTGGGAGGAGCAAAGGGAATGGCAGAAAGGGTCAAAAAACATGCCAAAATATATTAGAAAGCTGTAAACATTTTATGCTTGTGCTTTCTTGTTACATTTTAGTATTTAACTGTATTTTTGGACTGACTGTAAAAGATGGTACATGGAGGAAAAGGAGTGATATACTCAAATCTGAAGAACGTAAGATCAACTTGCCCTCTTCTACTGTGAATCTCTAGATAAGGCAAGATTGAGACACATGCAGGAGGGTGAGACATTGCACCATGAGCTTCTGCCCAAGAGACATCAGATCTTCTAAACACAGGTGGATTTCCTACAGAGCCATTGGCTACCTCTGTGCTATACCACCTCACTCTTGCAGGGTCTGAAGGGCTTTATTATTGTGAATGAAAGGATATAGATTCACCCTGAAATAAAAGAGAACCTTCTGGAGTAAAATCCTTTTTTAATATGGTAATTAGGATTCATTCTGGTGTAGGATACAAGCCATGCACCTCTTCTGAAACACTTTGGGATGTTTGGAGTGACAATTTTTTTAAACCGCTCATACTACACAACATTATGTATGTGTTTAGGTTATGAAGAGTTGCTGCAAATATTTGGATGCACGAAATTAGTCCTGTGCTTTCAGGGAACCACAGAGAATGCAAGGAGAGAGCTGGGACTTCGTTCTTTAGGTCATACCTTAGAGCAGTTTCATTTATCTTTTACCACCTATGTACGAAATCAGCGTAGGTGTAAACTTGGATCAGCATTGTAGGTAATCATAGCCTAGGCCTGTACCTTAATTAAAATACATTATTCTTCAGTGTTAGAACATGAGAGACTGATTAGAGTATTAGTTAATAAATTCTGGGAGGTGGATTTATTTTCTAGAAATCCTGTAGAATTGGTGGCAAAGGAGGCTAAGGGATAGAGAAGAGCCATTTTTAAAAATAACTGAAGTTATTTTTGATAATTTCTCTGTTCTTTGCTTTTAAAGAGACCATTTAAGGCTGGTGTGTTTATCAGTACCTCACTCTGCTCTGCTCAGCAAGTAGACGAGTTCAAAGAAACAAATTCACCTGCTAGTGAAGACAAGATGATTTTTGCTACTAGTGAAAAGGAGATGATGCATAGAGTCACCTGGCATCAGTGAGCCTCTAGCAAACTTCTTCCTTAGTAATAGAAGTTTGTCTCCTTCCCTTCTTTGTGTAGAGTGCTGCCAGAAGTACCCTGTTTGGCACCTTCATCCAGGCCTTTTCTCATTATTTTGCTCCTGTTTTGGTTTTGTTTGTTTTTCTTTTCTTTTATCCCTTTTTTATCCGGAAGGTTTTGTGTCTACTAGCTTGGGCCTGAAAGAAGAACATTTATGATCTTTTGCTTTTCTTTGATTCATCTTAGCATCCTCACTCCTCACCTTCCATACCAAATTGTCTTCTTATTCATCTAGGAAAGCAACCTGCTAGAACCATTTTTTCATTACAGTAGTCAATTTCCTCTAAGAATAGTATTTAACACTAGTGTAGGAAGAGAGTAATTTTTGGTTTGAATGCTTTAACTCTGTCTTCACTGTTAAGGTGCAGATGAGCGTTTTCTTTTTATTTTGGGGGGTTTTGTTTGTTTTTGTTGTTGTGCTTGTTTGTTATTTTATATCAACATAAGGAAAATGAGAAAGGAAATGCTATTTAGATTTACAGCATTTGGAGAATAAAAAAGGACAAAAAAGATGTATTCACATTCACTGCACTGTTAATATTCAAGTGTATGTGTGTAATAATGCTTTTACCAACTTGCCATGCTAAACTCAGATGCTATAATTCAGTACAGTGTTTCCCAATTCATTTGGTTTTGGAGAACTTTAAGGAGGCAGAAGCCTCCTTAAAGGTATTATGGTAGCAACTCCAAGAGCAATGATATGCTCTTTTCATATGAAAACTATTCTGTCTGTACTGTCAAATGATCAGTTTTAGACCTGCTTTTTAAAAGCTGTTTATCAACACAACTGTTAAGAGATTTATACCACATTAGTGTACACTCACAATGTACAGGTCTGAAATAATTTTTCAGTATTTTTCCTTTCAGCACATAAAGCACCAGATTCACTTCATATAATTCCAGTCTTCAAAGTAAGGTATCTGGAATAGGAGTGAAAGGCACATGGGAAGGGCTTAATTTTCATAAAGTAGAGAGCAGCAGCCGTCTCAAAATTAAATCTTTTAAGAAGGTTAAGATATGGAGGAGTCAGTTTCTGCACTCAAGCTTGAAGATTAAATTTAAGGGCATGCAAATCAAAATGCTTCATTGTGGTTCTAGCCAGTATTGAACAGAAGTGTAGGATTAATAGATGGGGCAGGGAAGCCAGGTTCTTCCATCATTTTAGATAACTCACCTAAGGTGCTGGTGGTAGTCTAATGCTTACTGGAATTTGGGAAACCTGTATGATTAAGTCAGATTTTAGAGGAATCCTGAACACAACATAGCATGAGACAGGCCATGGTGATTTACTAAATTTAAATGATAAATTGATAAATGATAAATTTATCATTGAGTGAGAGTACGAGTCACAAAGGCTGGGTATTCATTTCTGTTTTAGTGGTGGAATGAAATACAGAAATGTGATCATCAGCATCTGACCTAGTTAACTGAAGAGTTACCCAACCTAATTAGTGTGGAAAATGTGGGCAAGAATAATCTTGGAGTTTTTGTGTCTGTCTTCTAAATAGATAAGAAATTTTCATAGAATAAATTTAGTTAGTGAGATGGAGAAATCAGCTCACTATACTATAACTCTTTCCATTTCAAATGAAAATGGTTAAAAATAAGAGGAATTAATGGCTTGTAATCTAAGGCCCCAAAAAATACCTATCTAAAGGTGGGCAATAACTTCTTGTTTGATATTCTTCTGAAATATGATGCTGTAATTCTATTTTGTCAAATGTTTATCAAGAAATATATTCAGATCGTGTTTTGCATTTGTGACTTTTTAAGGATTCTGTACCTAATTCTTTACTGCCAGGGAGGAAGCTGACTATACACAAGATATGTTTATATATTTGCTTTCATTTATGGTTGACTAAAATTCAGTATGTTATTCATATACAGATAGCACAAAAAGTGGTTGGACATAGATAAGCAAATTCAATTTTTCTGAAAACATCTTCTGGATTTATATAACACATTGCAGTCTTGTGACACTTATTCTGGTCAAGACACTTGACCTCAGACACAGACACAGACTCTCAATTGAGACTTGCCCTGATAAAGGCTTGAAGATGATAGGGCTACAACTCTAGCATAATTAAAGAATTAATTGTGTAATTGTTTCCGTATTTATTTATTAATCTACTTACTTAAGGCTATGATTTTTCTCAAACATTGTCTAAGAATCTTTTGATTGACTTCTATGGGCACAGGCCGGACTGAAAATATCTGTCAAAACTTGTGTAGAAATTCCAAACCTAGTTTTTTAGAGCAGTAATTTATCCCTAAAAGACCCAAACCAACCAAGCAAGTCAAAAACCTTAATATATAATGTGTTGTTCTCCTTGCATTAGAAACTGGATTAGCCCCCATATGTCCTAGTGCAGGTCTAAAAGACACAAAAAAGACACAAGCATGTGTCTTTTCAAGGTAGTTATTCTGTTGTGCAATTATATATAGCTGTAAATTTTACTTGGGCATTTATTCTTCATTTCAGGATCCTGTGGGCTTCTAATAGCGTTTTCTTTTTGAAGCAAAACTGTAGTCCTTGTACAACAACTTCTGTGAGAGATATTTGGTGTATGTTATGTTAACATGAAGCCTGCTTAGGGTAATATATTCTTACAGTCATGAGAATTAATATTCTGCATTTTGTGAAAGAAAATAAAGCATTAAAGAGTTTACATCAGTTTTTTGGAAAAATTACTGTCATCACAGATTTGTTTGAATCTGCTAAAAGGTCTTTTGAGAATTATCACTGCTACTGAAATTATGGTGAAAAAACCGTGAAACACATTGCCTGAACACTTCTCAGAATGAAGTAAAAAAATGCTTGCAGTCGGGTAATACCTACCCTGAAATGCTGACCAGACAGACTTGTCAGGAATGTGATTCCAGGAGTGCATCTTCCCTGGTGTTTTGACTGGAACCAGGAGTGCAGAATTTAATCTGCTTTTCATACTTTCATTTACATCAAGAAGTGCTTTTGGTCCACAGGAACTGGATGTCAGGACCTCAGGTTTCATGTTCAGATTTGCCACTACTGGTCCCCAGCACTTTGCCATACTAGAGGCAATGTGACCTTTAGTAGTCCTGGCACACTGAAAGTCAGATGAACTGGACTTCAAATAAAGAGTCAGCTAGACAAGGGACCCAACTTCCTTCTTTGTATTAGAGATCAAACTAGTGACATGAAGTTACAACTTACTTAGAATAAAAGAGAAATTTCTGACAAAAAGTGAAAAAAAAATTGTTTGTCACAGTATTGTCTCCCTTTCTTATAAGGTTTTTCAGTTTTTCAGTCCCTTCTGTTCCTAGTGAGAAAAAAACCCAAATAACACAAAGGGCCACCACCATCAAAAAATATAAATATACAGCAGGAATTCTATTTTGGTGTTTAACTCTTTGATAAAGTAACTGGATTAATGGCTATTGTTCACAAGATGCTTTACTTTTCTATTTTTCTGGTTCAATAGGTGATATATGCCCTGAACACTAAGAATGATGAACATGAGGACAATATACAGGCTCTAAGAGAGGCTCATGAAGAAGAAATTCAGAATATTCTTGCTGAGACAAGAGAAACAATTCTCCAGTGTAAAAGCAAAGTTGAAGAAGAACAGTTACTGAGAAAGCATATTCAGGCCCTTGAAATTGCAGTAGCACAACACAAGAGATTGAAAGAAGAAGCCTTGGCAGAGTTAATATTGTGTAAAAAGCAAGCAGAAGAGAAGGAGTCAAGAACAGAAGTGAAACAAGCACAGACAGGCCTTTCTACAGACTCAGTAGATACCAATGCAGGCTTTGAAAACAAACTTCTACATTTAAATCAGGAGTTTGATGGGTTGCTAAATGAATACAAAGCATTTAGAGGAGAAAATTTAGATAAAAAAGTAAATTTAGATGAAAAATGTACTGCAGAAAGATACACTGTAATAAATGAGATGGAAAACCTGAAGAGCAAGAACCAGAAAACAACTGAAGAATATAGTCAGAAAACAAGAAAACTGCAAGCCCCTTGTGAGACAGAAAAAGAGACTTTGAAAAAAGCCATGCAGCAATCTGTAATAGAAACAAACTGTCAGCAAAGAGAAACAGGGCAAAAGAAGAGCTCAGAGACTGAGGAAGGTTTTTTGCTACTGCAGGTAAAGAAACTGGAAGCAGACCTAGAGGAGAAAAGCCAGAAGATAAATGAGAGGAAGAAGCATTCCCAGAAGCTGAAGGAGAGAATACAGGTAGAGTATGAGACTATAATCCCTATCTCTGCCTGAGAAAGTGCAAATTATCAATTCTTTAAAATTTGGGAGAGGAGAGTCTTTTACATACCATGTTGATTCAAATGCTTTTTAAGTAGTAAAGCAGTTTTAGAGGCTTGGAATGGAAATAGGAGTGATATAATGCTGACAGCTTTAAATAGAGTTAAGATGATTACTAACTCGTTAGGAGAACACTTTGAACACTAGAATTTGTACTCATTGAGGGAGGAGCAAAGTAAAATTTATCTGTTGGCTGAACAGAATTTTGCCTTTCCTGCCTGGAAATACAATGAGAATAGCAAACAGGCACTACTGCCACCAGTGAGTATTTACAGAGTACATTCTCCTTTTTCCTTGTGGTTTCCAACAGTTCAGTGCATGGATATGAAGAGGGTTAGATAAGAGACCTGAGCTGGCAGTTTAGGAATCGAGTTCTTTGTATGACTCTTGCAGCAGTGGCTTGTACCAAGTGCCATTTAATGAAGTGTTCTTTACACTTGTGGAGTTTTATGTGCTGAGCAATGAGACTTTCACCATTGGTTCTCACCTTGCACTTTGCCTGTCCACCCTCACTGCTGTGTATCTCATACATTTGCAGCAGAGCTCTGCAGACCCTTCCTGGTTGCATCATGTGTCAGATGCAGTTTCAGAGGTTGGCATGTCATGGGAAATCTGCCAAACAGCTGCTTTTGCTACACAAGGTCAGAGTGCAGGGGAGATGCTGATGCACAGTGCTGAAATTGAAGCACCCAGCCATGGTCTGTGCTCAACAGTTCTACTTCCTTTTGATACTTTTGGTCCTTTACATCACATAAACTCAGCTGCCAGACATATCCACAGCCCAATGACAGCTATTTTGCATCTTAGATGAGAAAACACCTTGAAGGTCTAGACTTGGAGTGTTACAGAATAGCAAAAACGGTTCCCTAATGAGAAAGAAGGTTTTCTTCCTTTAGAGGAAGAGAGCCCCAGAAGTCTGCAGGGAGCAGGGTCAGCCCAGTCACCTGTGATCTTCCAAGGCAGCTCTTAACTCTTTTCACCATCTGCCTTCACATCTTGCTTGCCACTATCGTTTTGCTGATGATGCAGAGTTCTGAGCTACTTCTTTGAGGATGTTCTTAGAGGGAGTTCAGCCTTTAAATAGATTCACTACCTCTTTGTTTTACAAGATCAGAGGATGAATTGAATACACCTTTCCCAACATTATTCAGATTTCATTGTCTCAGCATGTAGATCTGTAGCAGAACAACCTCTATCTTTTACAGAAAAGTGGAGAGAATACAATGAATGGCAGAGATCCAGATGAACCTTTTTTTTTAAATTGAGTCAATCTGTAATAACTGTTGCAATACTAAAAAGTATCCTGTAGAAGTTGGAAGCATTAGAGGGGAAGAGAGAAAGGAAGATTTTTTTTTGTAGGTACTTTACATAGCATTCAGGGAAAATGAAGAATAAACACATGAAAAATTATGCACATGGTTCACTCTTCTGATTTATTGTATAGAAAGTGCATTAATTTAGGAATAAATAATGTAAAATATGATAGGAAGTCAAAGTAAGAGGGTGGTGTCATTAGCAATGCATTTTCTGAATTCAGTATCAACTGGATAAAACTGAAATATTTTCTGAAGGACATTTGCTCAACTCGTACATTTCAAATCCTCTAAGTCTGTGGAATGAGGCTGATTTACATACTACTGGAGCATATTGCCTTGAATCTTTGAAGAGATACCCTCAGACTAGGATAAATTTGGAAGGAGGGAAAGAGTTAGACATGATGTTCTGTTTCTTTACAGTTTGAATAAAAAGAGTAAAAGTTTCTCCTTTCTAAATTGACTATTTCTTATGCCAACATTAAATACATTTTTTTCAGACTTCTATGGACAATGGCAGACAGGGAAATAGAAACATCTTTTTAATCAGAAACATCTTTGAACATTAGTAAATACTAGCAGGGAAAGCTATTATAAGGCTTGAAACGTGAAAGGGCTGTTGTTTCAACAAGATGAATTTTCCTGTGTTCTCCTTAGTGTATGCCAAGAGGTTTGAGGCCCTTAGATGAAAGACATTACATTCATACACATTTATTATTATTGCTGTAGAAGGGAGAATACAAAGGTTGACAAATCATTAAGTCTGATCTGTTCAGTCTAGTTTTGGAAGAATTCTGGCATATATGTCAGAGGTAAAAGTAACATGCTTACCTTGAAATTTTGAGCTACAGAGAGTTAGTTTTAACCCTGAGGTTTTACTTGATATTAATGGAAAAAATGGCAATTTTATCTGAGTGAGTATTGCAGTTTTATGCTAAACATTTGAAACTGCAACTAGAACCTCCAGAAACAGAACATTAAATATGTTCAAATTTTTTCCTATAGTCATGGAAAGACAATTCTCAGCAAAGTCTGTAGGACCCAATTTTTTCTGAGTTTAGGCATCTGTATAATGGATTATGTTACAAACTGTTTTATTTCAGCAACTGAAAACACTCTAATTAATATTAATTAACTTTTGGCATAAGTTGCCATGAAATTATTAGAAGTATAACCTATTTCAAATTTAGGATAATCTCAGGCATCTTTTAGATGGTAACTATTGATGGGTAATCACTTTACAATGATACCAGCTACATGTGGGGGAAGGGCTCCATATCACAATTATTCTGGCAGCAGGGTATGGAAGAGCAAAAAATGCATTTAAACCAGCTCTGTAGGTGATTTATATCATGGAACACCAGGAGAGAAAATGACCATTTATTTCTTATTACAAGAAAATTACCTATATAATAAATGTGAAAGTAATGTCATGCATATTTTAGGATTTGGAAGTGTAGCTTAAGTGAGCACAGCAAGAAATTCTGAGATCAAAATGTATAGTGAAAAAAGAGGAAGAAGATCTAAGTGTAGTCAAAGAGAGAAATTCACATCAAGAAAAGGAAAGCCTGCATAAAGCAGGTAAGGTGCTCATTAATGTCATTCTAAAGTATTTCCCATGTTAGTAGTCACGGATATTGGAAATTCTGCAAGTTATTTATGCTACTTGAAATGTAAATTTTGGTATCACAGACGATATGAGAACTATATTGAATTCCCAAAGCAAAACTGTTAATAAAGCAGATGAACTGAAACATCAAATAACACAGCTGCAGCAAATGACTTGTACCAAAGAGAGTCAGAAAAAGAGCAACTCTGAAGTTATGTAAGAACTTTAACAGGTGATTTGCTCTCAAATATTCGAAGACATGGCATACCAAAACTACTGAAATCAATGCAGGCCATTTTTTAAGATTGATGGCTTTATTGTACAGGAGTCAATCCTGTAAGATTCCCAGATCCCTGAGCTCATTCAGTGCAACTTGTGTTCATAAACTGAGGTACGTGAGTTTCTGCAAAGACAGCAAAGGAGCTGCAGACATCCTTGGGCTAGAGCAGTGTTCAACTGCTTCTGTAACCAAATCCTTAAAGAGAACAATGTCTAGTGCAGACTTTCTCTGCTGAGGTCAAGTTGGAATACTGATTTATTTATTTTTAAATATAGAAAATAGTTATTTGAAAAGCTATCCTGAGTGTATCCTGAGAGTACCCTCTGTACAGTATCTCCCCTTAAGCAAGTGTTCAGCCCTGAATCTTTTCTATACTTTTTAGTTCTCTTGAACTATTGTTAAGCTACCATTCAGGAAAATTAGACTTGGCATCAGTCAGCAAATCATCTACTGTACTTTTTCACAGGCCTAAGTTTGTTCTTGAGGGAGCCTGCATGGTTGGAAGTGAGTTACACACCCAAGCTCAAACCAGAACAGCAAAAAACCCTAAATCATTCCTAGACTGCAGAAGAAGCTTACCATTCTGACTCAGTACAGTTCTACATTTTTAACTAAAATAAATCCAATATTTTTCAATGGACTATTACCACCTAAATAACATTTTCACTACAAATAGACTACTGTGACCCCAGACTTCTACCCTGGGTTGGTTTTTTTTGTTTGTTTGTTTGTTTTGAGGTTTTTTTACAATATATCTAGTAGTTTTCTAGACTATGGAAACTGTAGCTGTTTACAAGGAGGGTACTTTCTTTGTAAAATCAAGCATCAGTTCTATAAGGAAAAGATTTGTCTGAAGGAATAGCTGTCAAAAAGAATGATAGATCATGTAATGAAGGATGCAAAGGAAATTAGGCCAGTCTAAAACTTCATGGAATCTGAGAAAAAAAAAAAAAAAGCAGAAGGTAGGAATGTTCTTCTATTTTTAGATGCTTTAATTCATCTGGTTTTAATCTTATTGGTTACAGCAACATCATTTGAATTATGCTCACTGTAGGCACTTTGAATTAACATAAAATGCCAGAATTTTCTTTCTACAGAAAAAAATCAGAAAAAGAAAAAAAAAATCAGACTGATGTATTTCTACAAAAAGTTCCAAAGACAGGAAGGTGAATTTATCATTGATGTGATAAATGGCCTTCTTGGTAATACTTATCCTTGAATTCTTTGTATGTGGGAGTTGGAGTATTTTATATAAGATCCTTCCTGAAGAAGAATGTATTGTGGATGCTATTCCAACTTCTGAGTTAAATTTTCATGGATCGCTGCTCTGAAATACTCAGATGAATTTGTTTAATCAGAATTTTGGATTGTTTAGGCAGAGGATCTAATTCTGCAAAGTTTTGGTAAATTAATTCAGACTGCACGTGTTACCAATGAAATTCCAACTGTTTACAAATACATGCATACATAAATATATATATGTCTTTATTTAGCTTTAGTCAGAAAGAAGGCTCATCTTCTTGTAGATCCAAACAACCTGCCTGAGCAAAACCCTTTTTTCAGTGTGTTTTAAGTGGTTAAGCTGTTATTTTTGTTGTTGATATGCATTAATAGCAATTGGCTTAAGAGATTCTTCAAAGAATTTCACTTTCATCAACGCTGCTGTCTGTGACTGAATCTTTTGGCTTTAGGTAATTTGCAGTCTCTAATATTTCTGTGCAGTGGGAACCTAAACATGAGCTGAATTCTATTCGAAGGGAGGATAACCTTGAAACACATGTTTAGTTTTAAGCATGTGCTTTAATGATTAGTGGAGCTCACAAGTCAGTGCAAGTCTAAGTGATTTGCCAAATTTGAACATAAGCTAAGGGGGAAGATAGTTTCTGACTCCTAATGGACTTCGGTGTTCATCAGAGGTCTTCTAGACAGAAAAAGATTAATTTCAGCAGTTTGTAGAATGGGACAATCAGACTACTGGTCAAGTGGTTTTTAGACCCTTCTTGGTGCTAAAAATTAACTTCTACCTATTCTCTGCAATTAACACTATTATAACTTTCTGAGTTCAACATTTACTTGAGAATAATCAAACACTTGCTGACAAGTTGTGAAGTCATAAAAAGCAAACAGCTGCTGTCCCTAAATGTTGAACTTCATAGTACCTGCCCAATCTTGGAGACAAGAAATTGTGTTTAGTGCTTGCCAAAAGAATTCATTTCCATGAAACTGCTGGAGTTTATAAGTTTATACAATCTTATTTCTCAAAATTGAACCCAGGTGAGTAAATTATTTTATCTGCTTGTGGAATAGGTCACTTTTGATCAGTATCTGAAGATGAAGTGCTTCAAGGTATATAGTTATATTAGTGAAGCCTTATGGAAATGACTTTGCCTTTTATATAGCATATTCTACTTATTATTAGCTTGTACATGTATTCTTAAAATTATGCCAGGCTGAAGCTCTTTGTGTGAGTCAGATTGAATTTAAGTATCAAACACTTCATACTTTAGAAAAAAAGGCCTTCATACTTTAGAAAAAAAGGCATACTAGTAGACATTTTTTTAATAGGCAATAAATATTCTTGTTTATAATATTTTCTTATTCATATTAATTTAATCAGAAAATATTGAGTTAATAAAACAAATAAATTACTTTTTTTTTCATTACTGATGCTGTTCATATCCTTTTATTCAACTAAGGCCTGTAATAGCTCTTAAGGAAATATTATATCTATTTTTCCAGATAAAAAAAATTAAGATACAAAGAAGAAAGTCAGTTGACAGAGTTGAAGTGGGAATGTTGCACCTGATCTTCATGTTTTAATCAAAAAGATAGTTATGGCTGCTCCTTTTTATACAGGCAAAATTAAGACTAATTCCTCCCTTTCAATATTCATGTATCTGTTTAATTCCTTCCTTTAGTTGCTACCTAAGTTTTACACAGGGGTGTATGAGAAGGAGCTGTACAGGATGGGGAAGGTGTTAAATAGTTATTTTTTTCTGTTTCCTTCATTTGTAGTGTCTGAAGACACTGTAGAATGTTTTTTGAGTTAGCAAATTTGCACAAATAGGAAAAGTAAGCACACTAATAAACTTGTAATGGATATCACTTCAGAAGTTTCTAGAAGTTGCACATTCAGTCTTTCTACAATTTGTAATTGCTAACACTTGCTATAAACAATTGCTACAAGCTCTTGGCCACTGTCTTGCAACTGAAGCTCATTGATTTTTAACTATTTCCAGCAACATGGTGATTATATAATCCTCATTTTTTTATTATTATTTTATTTTTACTTCCTTTATGGATGCTGTCAGATATTGCTTCCTTTGGTTCTCTTTTCCACTAATTGCCCATTAGTCATCTTGTTATTTATATGGTCAATGTATATTTATGGATTTTCAGATCTTGTGGGTGACTCTTGCATACTAAATTATATTTGAACATTAACACCACTCAAGGAAAAACAGTCTGACTCTTCATGCTGTACAGTTTTACACCTTAGAGAAGCTTTCAGTAGAAGATTAGGTTAAACTGTATTGTCTCACACTAGTATTAGAAAGAACTAAAGCAAACTGTTTATACATTTTAAATTAAATAACACGAATGGCATTAAATGATAGTAGCATGTATTATTGTGTACACTGTTGTATTATCTAGGTTAATGTAGAAGAAATGTGTTCTTTTTCTTGCTGCATATTTTGTCCCTGCTATTGTATGCTCTTGTCTTTTTTTTTTTTTTCCTTTAATTTTAGGAGCTCCAGACACAGCTAGATGAATTTAAAAGAAAATCTGAGTGTGAACTAAAGCAACTAGAGAAAGAGAAAGAAGTTCTAACAGGGAAACTTCAAAACTCTTCACTTGAGGTAAACTGGCCATAAATGTAATGCAGTAATAAGAAGTCCCTTCATTTTTCATTCCATCTGAGAGATTCTGGATTGGATTTTAATACTATTTGTTGTGTCTATCACTTTATAAAATATGCAAGGACTCCAGATAGAATAACAGAAATAACTGCTTCTAAATATCTATGAAGATTTTGACAAGCTTATTTATTTCATATATTGCTCTTTGGAGATGTGCTAAGGTGAGTTGGCTATGTCAAGGTTGCAGAGCAACTCTGATTGTTTGTTTACAGGACAAAGTGAGTTTAGAATCTTCCTTACAACTCCTGTTAACTTTCTGGGTTTTTTTGATGCACAGAGATGTATCTTCACTGATTCTAACCAATTTCACTTCCCTCAAGTTCAGTGGGAGTTTGTAACAACTCTGCAAAAACTGAAGACCTAGATCTTCTTCAGCTATTTGTAGACTCTCAGTGGCCATAATAAGGTCTCGTTGAAAGGGAAAAGACAGGCTCATCATGCAAAACCTTGTCCTCTCTTTACTGCTTCCACTTTTCCCACATGCCATTACTACCCCTTGGTGTGCATGTTCCAGCAATCAGGGCATGTGTTGTGCTTATTTACAATAAGCAATGCCTGTTTTTTCTCCCGTCTGTGCTGTACTAGCTATACTAGTTATGAGCACAGCATGAGTTTTTCCTTTTCTTTTCTCCTCTAAAACACATTTATCCATTCTGTTTTCAAACAGTGAATTTCTGACATTCTTTCTATTTCCCAGACTTACAAATACAGAATTTAAGTGTAGTTTAATGTTCTGAAATTTCTGGCTATTTTTAAGTTTCATTACACATTTCTGCATGCTGCTGTTTCCTACAGAGTCTCTTCTGAGAGAATTTCAGGTCAATCCAACCTACATTGGCCTATTCAGAGTGAAAGGTTTACAACATGAAGGTTTATTCCTCAGTCTTTGCAGATGCAAAAACTAAGGTCGTGGGTTATAAAGTTAGTTTTCTTGAAATCACATATTCAGGACAGTAAAATATAAAAGAAACTTATGTTTTCTAACTGCTCATCCACTTGCATCACAAGATCATGGTAAGTTAGCAAAGACTGGTGGGAAATTATTGCCACTATAAACATAAACATAAATAATATTAAATAGTACATAGCATGCCATATGGTATGTTCACAGCACCATGGTAAATATGAGCAGATACACTAAGAAACATTTTATTGTATCTTAGAATCTCACTGCTCTCACAAAGGAAGAAATGCTCCATTTGAAGAGAAATTTTGCATTTTTCTTGATTATTCCAAAAGTTATTTTCTGAACTAATTACTTGGCAGTATTGCCAGGGTAGTGAATTCATTTCAACTTGCAATAGTTTCCTGCTATAGGTACATGAATATTCACAGCCAAGAAAGCACCATTTACTATATAATGTTCTGTTTCACTGAGGGAATGCTTCCCATCTGGGAACCTTTGCATTGGCTCAGCCCAGAGCTTCCGCCTCAAAGGCTAGGCAATGTGCTGTTACTAATCCAGTTCTAACCTGGATACAATTTCAGATCTAAAAATAGCTTTCTTTACTGCATAAGACCCGTTTTTAGTCGGGCTGACATAGCTGGAGCACTATGCAGAGTAGACGGAAGCATGATAATTTCATCTCTCTGGGGTTGCACGTCAAGGTGTCAGTATTTCTGTATTAATAAGATTTGTATGGATAAAGAAATCAGACTTGTCTCTGTTTGGTCATTTGGAAGGAAGAATGTGAGATCCTGTGTAGGTTGAATGCTAATTCTCCAGTTCCTGGTTTTTGAGCTACAGGATCTCTTCAGTATGTGTCAAAGGATCTTGATGGGACAATATAAGAAAAATATGAAGCTATTAGAAGGTATCCAAAGGATGGCTACAGAGATGGTGAAGGGTCTTGAGGGGAAGCTGTATGAAAAGCAGCTGATGTCACTTGGTCTGTTCAGCCTTGAGAAGAGGAGAGACCTGAGGGGAACCTCATTGCAGTTATAACTTCCTTGTAAGGGGAAGAGGAGGGGCAGGCACTGATTTCTGTCCGGTGACAGTGACCAGATCCAAGGGAATGGCCTGAAGTTGAGTCAGGGAGGTTTCAGTTGGATATTAGAGACAGGTTTTTCTCCTAGAGGGTGGCTAGGCACTGTAATAGGCTATCCAGTTAAGTGGTCACAGCATCAAACCTGGCAGAGTTCAAGGAGTGTTTGGACACTGCTCTCAGGCACATGGTGTAACTCCTGGGGATGGTGCTGTGCAGGGCCAGGAGGTGGACTTCTATGACCCTTGTGGGTTCCTTCCAACTCAGAATACTCTATGATTCTGTTCTATTCTGGAATTAGAAGGCACATAAAATGGAAGTGCAAACATCAGATACATCTTTGAACAATGCAATGACCAGAGTTTTTATGGATCTTAAAGATTCCACCAAATAGCAGCCAAAGAACAGTCAGGAATTCCTCTGGTCAGGAATTGCCACAGGTTTAGGAATATTATTTACTGTGAACTTAATTGAAGTAACTCTGAAATAAGTCTTAAAAATCAGTAAGATACAATTTCTTTATTTTGTTTTTACTTCTTGTGCTATATTACTGTTTATGTTTGGTTAGGTAATGTTTGCATCTCTGAGATCACTTTATGCAATTCTGGTGGATAAAAGTGAATTTGTAATGGAATTAAAGTACAGGTTTTTTGAGAACTTTTTCAGTGGGAGGACATTATAAAGCACAAAATCCCACAGTGTTGCTGCTTTATTAATAATGAAAATATCCAAATAGATTCTGGACTGATGTGAGTTGGCATAGTTTCATTGGCTTAAATGCTGCTTTACCAACTTAAGCAAATTGAGGGTCTGGCTATCTGTTTAGAAGTCAGGAAGTGCAAAAAAATACCTGAGCACTGCAAAACGTTCCAGAGAAGGATTTTCACTGATGGATTTGAAAGCCTTTCTAATTGCTAGACAGGAGGAAGAAACCTGATAGGATGGAAATGTTTCTTAACTTCTAATATGTTAGAAGTACCAGGATTCATGAGAAAGAATGTGTTTGTATGCTGATACAATTCTGTAGGCCTTTTCCCCTTAATCACTGAAAAATAATGGTTTTAAAACTACTTTTCCGTCTGATTTCTTACTACATTTTGTTCCTGGCTTATCCTATTTCTAGTTAATATGATCTTTGGTTTCATGTGACAAGTGCTTTGGGCCAATAATTGTAAACAGTTGGGGAAATTCATAAGATTGTGATCACAGATAAAGTTTATATAGGCCTCTTTTCATCTTTCCTGCCTAGAGGACTAACTTGCTTAAGAAGTACTCCAAGTAACATTTTTCCTGTTTCAAATGTTTCTATTATAAAATATACAACCTATTCTTCCAGCATATTTTTTTCAGTCTCTTTATATTCAGGAAGCCCATAAAAATGCATACTTGAGTGTAGTGATGCTAATGCATATTGTGTCAGCTGGTAGGAAGGACTGCACAACGTTAAATCTTTCACATCAAAGGTTAGTTTTATAAGGAAAGGATAAAAACTTCAGTGTTTCCTTTCTTTATACAGGAAAACATTGGCTTGAGTTCAGTAGGTGTGAAGAAAAAGTACCTTTTTTGCCTGTAACCAGAAACTAAAGTGCCCCTTTGATTAAATCTTTTGATTTACCACACATTTCTTTAAAAAGTAGTAAAAAATTCACCATCTCTTGAAACAAAAGTATGGTTGGCAAGTGGCACTGGCATCTGCATATTCTTGGAGTGTATCCAGGCCACAGACAGATCCCATTAGACAGATATATTAAAGACAATTAATGTTTTTCATTGTGAATAGTATTTGGCAAATATTCTTCACTAGCTTGATCAGACAAATATTTTTGTGTGTGTTTCATTGGATAACACAAGGGAAGAAGCCAAGAAACAATTGGATGAATAATGAACTCAAACTCGGTCTGAGGCAGATGAAGCTAGGTGCTCTTTAAAATTAAATATATCAGTTTTGTTGGATAGCTTCAGCAGAGCCTTAGGCTTGCCTTCTGGTTTGTGCCATATTATTGTGCAAATTGAGCTATGGATTGCACGTATGACATAGAGACGATTTGAAATTTTTAAAAAGTACTTCATGAGCAACAGACAGTATATGCAAAAAGGCTGTCATTCTTCACTGGAAAAAGGGCTCCTTGCACAAAACAAGCATCTTGCTATTTTTTCATAGAGCAACACAAGCTCATAAAATGTACTCAACGTTACATAATTCCTCTCCATTGTGAATGAAGCCATTAATCCTATTCTGCTGACTTACTTTTCTGGAAGGTGGCTCAGCTGAAGCAAATATTAGAACAACAAGCAAAGAATTTCAAGGAGTCACTGAAGAAATATAATCTACAGTCCAACAAAGAAAAAGAGAAGCTTTTGCAGGATCTTCAAAACGCCATTAAAGAAAATCAAAATGTTAAACTGCAGTTGGAGGCATCACACCAAAAAGTCTTAAAAATGTTGGAGGAAAGCAAGAATCAGGAACTCAAGGTCAGTTTACTACATACTAATGTAAAAAAATACATACATTCATGGGGTAGACCATCTAAGTGAGAGCCAATTATCAAAACTCAGTTACCTCCAATTAGTTTAATGATGGGTTTCTATTGTTGTACATAATGAATTATTCTGTAATTTTGAAATCTCCTCTTCATCATGCTGAGAGAGGTGGTTTGGTTGGTGATTTGTGAATTTTTGGTTTTTTATAATTTTAACATTTTAACTTAGATCACTGGGTGAATATAATATACCCTACAGTTAGGCTGCAATTAATACAAGCTCCTTTATCTGTGCACCTGCTTCAGAAATACAAGGGAATTCCTGAGTGTATTAATAACAGGACTCATTTTTATTATTTTTCATCCATTATTAATTTATACATAAATATTTAGAAATATAGTAGATGCATACAGTGATGTATATTGCCTTATATACCTTCAAGAAATCAATTCAGTGAGTGGATAACCAAACCTTTAAAAGGTTCAAATGAATTTATTTCAATGGCAAAAAGTTAATGCAATATACTGAAGTTCTAAAGACTGTTGCTGTCTGAGAAAAAAATCAGCTTGAGAAATGTACATGTGATTGTGTCATGGAGTTCAGATATCCCTGTTGGTTCCCACAGCTCAGAGAACTTTATGAAACATAGGTAATAAAACCACCCTAAGTAGAATTTATTTTCTTGTTTATGTATTCCAAATAAAAATCCAGTTTTGACAAAACCAAGCTGAAGGTAGTGAGTTGGTAAGAATGAAACTGAGGAGTTTGCTTTCAGAGCCACTACAGAGCAGCTGCTCCATCATTTACAGTGTGCCAGCGGTACTTCTATTGACAGTGGAAGCATGACCCAAGAATGATACAAGGAAAGATAGATGCCTTTATCTGATACACGGTGATAAGTAATGACAAACAGGTCAAATCTGGGGGCCTTTGTATGTTGAATAATAAAACTTTCTTTCTAATGTCAAATAGTACAAAGATACCGGTGTTATTATTTCATCATGCACAACAAATCTAAGAGGCGATACACTGATAATTTATATTGTACCTATTAAGTGCTAATTTTTAACTTCATTTTTACTCTTGCATTGGTAAAATGTCATGTAAAGTGGTGATAAAATTAAAGTTCTACAATGAAAGGCCAGATTCATCCTAGCATTACAAGTGAAACAACAAGCTGATAAATAGGCTCCAATGACTTTGTTTTTGGGGGGACTTTTGCTTACAGGAGGCAGAAGAACGATTGAAAAAGGAATTTAATGAGACTTTCAAGATCCAACATCAGTCTCATAGGCTGGAAATACAAACCTTGGAAGAGAAAGCAAAGAAAGAATTACATGATGAACTTGAGCAGATACAGAAGCAGCAAGCCCTGCTGCTAGGTATAGTCCCATGTCATGCACAGTTCCTACTGCTTGCTTGATTATATATATGCTGAGAACCACTGACTTTCATCCCATTCATTTTCTTTCCCATCTTCTGGGAACTCAGGTCTTTGTTAATCTCTTTTTTCATACCCTGCGATTTCAACAATATAATCTTAATATTCTTTGTTAACCAGGCTCTCAATTTTCAGCAGCAAAATGTTTCTGAGAAAGTAGTATGGTTTACAACATTCAAGTATGCATTATCAGGCATATTAGATTGGAAAATTATCATTAGTTTATATGACTTTACTCTTTTTCTTTTCTATGTTGAGATGAGTTTTTGTATGTGCTTCAAGTCTGTTCTATTGAGTTCAGCAGTGGAGATCAGTTGTTCCTTATGTACTATTTAGTCAGTTTCAAAAGTGCCCTAAACTGCTTAGAACTAAACAGAACTCTGCACTAGCAGGATGTGTAGTATCTCCAGGTTTAATCTCAGGTTATTAAAGCTCATCTATAAAATTATTTTAATTAAATAAAGAATAATTTGAAAGTATTTTACATACAAACTGAATTTTATTCTTCGGTTTTTTTCCACCAGTAATTAAAATTTGCTAGAAAGATTTCTTGCTCTCTAAAGTTTATACATTCAATAGATATATTCTTTCTTCAAGAAAAATTCTAGGGAGACAACAGAGATAAAAACTTTTTTCTTCTTGTACTTGAAAAACTTGTACCTAATATACACAAAAATTGCAGTATATGACATATGAGCTTGCATAAGCATTGTACTTCTCTAACACAACCAGAGTTTTCCTCAGTCTGCCTTATGGCCCTCTACAGAACACCAGTAGAATTAACAGGGAAGCTGAGGGGTGCTCCAGTAAATTTCAAGATTAGAAGAAACAACTGTGAGGATGTAGTCTGCAATACAACTGCCACAGGATTACCTCTCTGACTGATGTTGACTCATTGCTTTTGTACCTCCATATCATCTTACTATTGCTCAGCTGACTTACTTCTTCAGTAATAGGAGACCATTATGTTTAATGGGGAAGGAGTTGAGCAAAGTAAAATGTAATGTATTAATGTTTTCATCTACATTCCCTGTATCTGCCTTCCCCATCCATCTGGCCTCTGACTGCCTAAATGATTGTCTGTCTGATTGTTACTAGGATCTCTAAGGATGGAACTCTCTGAGCAGCAAACATTATGCACAAACCTAAAGAAACAAATAGAAGAACTACAAATGGAGCTGAGGAGTGTGAGGACACTGAAGAAGCAACAGGCAAGGGGCCAGTTTGTACTTCATTGCCATGTTGTGTTTAGCAAAAGCAATAGTATCAAATTTCTCTGGTGATAATAAAAGTATACAGTCACTTCCAGAAATGGAATAAGTTTTCTGCCTTTATGTCTCATTTTGAATGTTTATAATTTTTTTCCCTATGGGCAGGCTTTTTCTCTCCAATTAAAGATCAGAATCTACAAAAGAAGCAAATGAATGAATGTTACAATAAAATAAATTCTTTGGGGACTATAGAATATATTCAGGAAATTTTGATCACTGATTTTGTCTTGCATATATATAGCATGGCACATATAATTGAAAAATCAGATCACAAAAATGCAATGCACACAATTCCAGGAAAATGCTAACATTACAAATAAGAGGCTATGAATAACTAAATTTGGCCTTTTTCTTAGGAAGGAAGTAGCCAAACCCAGATCAGATCTCTTCATGATGAACTGGAAAAATGTCAGAGTGAAATTTCTGAACTCAAGAAAGAGAATTTACTTTTGAAGGACACAATGGAGCTGCTCAGTGCTGAGTTGGAGTCACAGAAGCAAGAAGCTACACAGCTTCAGGATAGAGATAAACAGCACACAAGGTTTGCCTTGAATTCACACTTGACAGTGTTATCTAGAGATTCAATAATAATGCCAGTGAGTGGTGTTCTAAGTGCAATGCATGTCAGAATCTTTCTTTCTAAAGTACTAATTTTAGAAGCAAGGAATTTTGCAAAAGCAGTAGTTCATTTCACATTTTCCTCCAGCCATAATAGATGCATTTGAACTAATTGTTCATTATATGTCACAGAAAAGTATGTCTAGTGTATCCCCACAGGAGTGACCTGAGAAAATGTGCATAATGTCAGTCTTTCAAAGGCACTGGAAGACATAAATCCCAAACTCACCAAAGAGCTATTAAAAAAAAAAGGAAGTCGCTGAGAATAAATATCAGGTTTTTATACATACTCTCTGTAGCTGAAACCAATGGACTGTTAATTCCAAAGGGCTCACTTAAGAATGCCATATATACCTTGTTAAGAATTTGCTTTGGCTGTAGCAGCCAGCTTTTCTTACTTTCCCCTTACAGGGGAAGTAAGGGCAGTGCCAGTGGATACTGACAGTGCTTCTGGGCTGATGAGGAGCCTGGCACTGTGAGAGGCTGTCAGGGCTGTCAGGAAGGGCAAGGTCACTTGAGTCTTGGCCGTCTTGTAGAAGGTAAATCATGTCTTAGTATAGCCACAGACTCAGTGCACGTGGTGAAAATGAGTCATCCCATTTCTGTCCAGAAAAAGTGAAAAATCCTAGGATCAATTAGGTTGGAAAAGACCTCTGAGATCATTGAGTCCAACCTGTGACCAAACACCACCATGTCAACTAGACCATGGCACTGGGTGCCACATTCAGTCTTTCCTTAGACACGTCTGGGCAGCCTATTCCAATGTCTAATCACCCTTCCTTTGAAATTCTTCTTAATATTAACCTAAACCTCCCCTGGCACAACTTACAAAGGAGACAAGACTGGGTTCACTGCCCGCTGCATTTGTGTGGCTGTTGGATCCTTTGGAATTTCTGGATGAACATACATTCTCTTTGCAGAGAGACTGAGGGATCTGGTGTGTGGGTACTTTTCAATTCATTTTTGCAATGGTGCAGAATGTATGCCCCCCAACTACACAAGCTGTATATATAAAATGATTTTGGAAGACTGTGCCCTTAAAGGAATCTTTAAAATTATGGCCCATATAGTCCAGAGAAAAGCACTCAATGGATAGATGTCTCTCTACAGACTGTCAGAGTGGCCAGAGTAATTCCATTCCTGTCTACCAGTGAGTAGATATTTAAAGAATAACTTTTTTTTTTTTGCCATTGTGCTCTTCGGAGAGCTACTTCAAAGTGAATTTCATTTCAAGCTTTTGAAGCAAGATCAACAGAGAAAATTGCAAACCAGAGAGTTTCATTAATGCCCTCAAGCTACCTTGAAGGAATTTAGAGCCTCTGTTCATGAAGAGAAGAATTATTCACATGTCAGCGATGAGGTCTAAAAGGCCTCAAATGCTAAGGCTGCTGGGCTGAAGGATTTTCTTTACAGGCAATAAATGGTGTAGCTCTACCACAGTAAGCATTTGGGAAAAGCATTAATGGAAATTATGTAAGGAGAAATCCTTCAAATAACCGGAGGTAGGACCAAAGCACTGGAGTGGACCTAGGCACCTGAAAAAGGCTGCTCTGAAATTAACCCATGTACGACTTGAAAAACTAACTTGCAGCTCTTGTTTTGCTTTTGCTGGACTAATAATTCATGTAGAGGAATAGTTAAATTAGTGCATATAAGTAACTGCTATTTTTACTTTTAACAACCATGCCCCTGTCTTACGCCAGTTTCTTTTTTGATTTGAAAGCTGATAATGGTTTGTTATTTGCACATGACAAATTTTTATAACAAATTACTTAAAATGACTAGTCCTACTGTTGCCAAGTAAATGAAACCCGTAATCTGCTTAAAGTAATAATTCTCTTTCCCTTCTCTTGAATTGTGTGAATTCTACCTCCAGGAGAGAAAGGTTTTACAAGGATTAGCATAAGAGCAGACAAAGGTGTTTTTATGGGAAGAGAGAACAAGTCCCCAAATGGCTGTTCTGAAGGAGAATATGCTACTCCTGAAGACACATTTCATCCATCTCCCTTTTTAACCCTTATTCTTCTGCTGCTCATTTTATGCTAAGTGCCAAATCAGTCACTTCCATGGCTATGCTCTAATTTCAAGGGGAGAAACCTTTCATGGAACTTTTGGTCTTTCCTGAAGCCTTTCAGAAACAAGTAAAACAGGCTTGGGAATACATTTAAAAGGAGATAGAGGAAAATGAAAGATAAATGAAAGAATGTCTTTTGTGGAAATTACAATTGTTAATATGCTGAGCTGAGCATGTCTATTCTAATTAGTAAACCATAGAACATGAGCTCTCTATTGAGTTAATGAAAGCATTTCTCCAAGCAATAGCGAACAAAAATCAAACTATGATTCTTCAATAGATGCCTATTGCTTTAGGGATTGGTATTAGAATGCAGTGTTATGGTTATACTTGAGAAAATATTAGGCATTTTTTAGTTTTCAGTTTATGGTGTTAATCATATAGCAGTGTCTTCCAAAATATATTGTCTGAAAAAGATTAATGTTATAGTTAAAGGCATTGTTACAACATTTCTTTCAACCTTGTTTTTTCTTTTTTGAGTTTTAGGATGATGATAGGCAGTATTAAATGTTTCTGGTGCCACGATGTATTGAAATATATCATGAGAATCTTATGTTAAAATCCCAGATATTTCAACATAATTTTGCTTAATACAAATACGTTCCCATGGTACTTTGTTGTCACGTTTTATCATTAAGATTGATGTATGAACTAACCTTAGACAGAATATCAATAGTTTCATTATATGGGATAGACCTTCCATTTCCTGAAGGGTGAAGGTCAAGTGCTTTTCAGGATAATTTTTCTCTTCCTCAGTGTTTAAATATTTTTTCTCAGATTGCAACCAAAATTTCAAAGTTAAATCAGTAGGCAGAAGCCAGATCTTTGCCCAGTGAGCTACCTTTGCAGCCAATAAAACACCTCAAAACTGCATGCTTTGATCAAAGATAATAAACTAGTATTGAGACCTGAGAATTCAGACATATTTTAATACCAATAAAAGGCTACTGGTAGAAGACCTCAATATCAAGCATAAAAAAGAACTGGACATACTGAAACAAGATCACCGGAAGGAAATTGAAAACATAGTATCTGATTTCAGCAGCACTCAGGCACATCTCCAAGCAAAGATTTTCTCCTTAGAAACTGTGTAAGTAATTTAACAATAAACTCTGGCTCATGCTGGCAATGAGTTGTGTTTGTATTTATTATTCTTAGTATGTAGAGTTGTTTTATTCAGCGTAAGTAAAATATTGTACAGATCAAAGTAGAAGTGTATAGGTATTGTCTTTGCAAACCAAAAAGACCTGGATGCATTGTAATAAGTTCTGGATATTGTTTAATCTAAAACACTATACATGAAGTTTTACAATGCTATATTAAAAATTGCATGTAGGATCTAGAAATTTTATGAAATGTTAAATCGTCTGTGTCACAGATGATACTAGAGGCCTTGATCCATGATCTTGTACTTAATTTTGTTCAGCAGACCAGCATCGTTGAGTAAAAGCTTAACCTCATTCTTACTCCCTTAAAAATTTCCAAGGAAAATGATGCTCATGTAAATAAATGCAGTTTGCAGCCCCCTGTGGATTTAAATTCTGTGATGCTTCAGATTGAACAGAAGAAACCCTTCAGAAATAATCCCTTATATATATATATATATATATATATATATATATATATATATATCCCTTCTCCTTTTCTCTTATCCCAGCTGTGCAGCAAAAGTCCAGAAGAGAGACTTGGCATGAAAGCAGGCCTCTAACCTTTAAACCTTTCAGATGTAAAGATTTGTTTTTAATTTTAACTCAGAGATAACTCTAAGATGATATGAGTGGGGGGTGGGCCTCTCAAAAATGTTTGCCCACACATTAAAAAAACAAACAAACAAACAAAAAAACCCCACAAAATGGTGTTTTGTACTCTGTAATACATTTCTCAGTATGTGTCCTGGTTATGGCAGGTGAATCATAGCATTCAATTTCTCAAGCAGCAAAATTCAGGAACCTGGCTGATGAAATAATGACTTGTGTTCTTATGAGTCAATCAAATGTATGTTTCCACACCATATCTAAAAATGTGTAATTAGCGTTTGAATCTTTTCCCCTGATTAAAGATTTTTAAAAGCTGAACTCAGACTACAGACTACCTAGCAGGATTACTAAAGCAGCATGTATATCCAAGCCTGTCTTCATGAAAGTTACAGGAATTGAATAATTCTGAGGATTCCAAAGTTATTGGGTCAGAAAAGAGAACAAATAGATGAATATAGATAGTATAGATACTGGGAGACTGACTTCTTTCTTTAGGAAATTAGACTAGCAGTATGATGTGCAAGGTTGTTACGATTTTACACAAGGGACTGGATTTTACACTGGACAAATGTTGTGGATTAACCTTGGCAATTTATTTTGGAACTCCAGAAGATTCTATAATTCTACGTAAACCACATACAAGTGCCCATTTTTAAAAAATCCTGTTTTATTGGAAAGGCCTGGCTATGTCTCTGCATTTTAGGCTTGGAACATAGGGCAGAATACATCTGAGGTGTCTCTTGAACCTAATCTGACAAAGATTTTCCTGGTCTGCATTTTCTTTGGTACAGACTTAAAGAATTAGAAGAAAAGTCAAGAAAGTGGGAGTCCAGGCCTGAAGATACACACCTTATAAACTGTCTGCAAGACAAATTAAGTGAGAAAGAAGAGATTATCAAGCAGCTGGTGGTAAGACTGCTTTTTATATGGACATACGTATTTTGGCATTTATTGCAAGTCTCTATTCAGTGTTTCACACATTGCTTCAGACTGATTGTTTCTTTCTATTCTGGAATACTTTGACAACTGTATCTTTCCATACCAGCTTCCAACAAATACATGTTTCCATACACATGACTTTGTTTCCATACACATAACTTTGTTTCCCTTCAGGAAGGAAGAAAATGTCAGCATTCGCTTTCAGCCAACACTGAATCTTACAGGAATCGATCATTTTCTTTCAACCCTAATACAGCATGCCTGACTCCCTTCATGAAGGTAAGATGAGCAATGCAATTAAAATCACAAATTGTGATAGTTTTTATTACTATTTGAATAATATAGGCAATCAGGACAAAAAAAGTGCTATCAATTTTTAATAATAATGTTATTCAGTAGAAATCTTTCCGGTGCCAACCTACAGTCAGTGGTTGAGCATAGGAGAAGTTAATCAGAAGTATCTAAGCAACATAGATAACAGGTATTTAAGCTGATATAAAACACTAGAACTCTGTTTAAGCTGATATAAAACACTAGAACTCTGGCATCAGTTTTCCACTGAAATAAGCATTGCCATTGTTTGCAGATTTGGGAGTTGCTAATTGGGATATTGCATGCATCAAGGAAAATTATGAATCTGTTTGAGTTGCTTGGTATCTGCCCTTTGTTATGCCAGCCCCTCTGCATGATATTGTCTACAAATAGCCATAGAAAGAAGGGAGGTCACATTGGTGGAAAGCAACTCGATGTGTCTAAAATCTCAGGGTCAAATACATGAGTTGTTGTCATTGCATGACAAAATCCATGGATACTCACAGCATACTCTGAGCATTTAATTTAAATACCTATAGAAAAAGATAGAAATCTTCCTATTTGGGTGTTCCTTGCAAGATATTTGGGAATGAGGTATTGTTGAAGTTTCATAGAATAAATAGTAAAAAATATGTATGTAATGAAGTTTTCTGTTACAATAAAAAGCAGCAGAAGAAAACGGTTGAGGTGCCCAGTCGTGTTGTCAGTGTTCCAAATTTAGCTTCCTATGCAAAGAGCTTTTTGAGCTGTGACTTGAGATCAAAAAGAAGTGCTCCTCAAATAACAAAATCTACGAGCTTAGACCGGAGTTCTGGCTGCCTCAGGGTGGGCTCTCCATCGACACAGTCCTCAGACAACAGTGCTGCCACAAGGTATTTGTCCATTTTGTATGACAATAAATTAATTCATATTTAGAATCTTGTGGGCAATTCAAACACATTTGGCATGTAGAAATACACAACGATGTAAGGTTCCTACTGTACAGTGAACTCTGTGTGTTTGGTTTTCTGCAGACAGATCCAGAACTTTACTGCAAAAGTGGGCTATAATCCCTGCCCAGCAGACCTTATGCTTGCAACCCATCCTGGTAGGGGGGAAAAGAAAATTAAACCAAAGCAAGCAACCAAAAAACACACACACAGACACACACATACACAAAAAAAAAGGGAAAAAGAGCTGCAACTATTTAACTAAGAATGTAGTTAATTGTGAACATGGCATCTTTCAGTCATTCTGTGAAGGATGTATGTCTTCTGTGAATTCCTTCTTATTTTTATTGCCTCACCTTGTACTTGGTAGATGTAGATGGCATGTTTTTATTTTAGGAGATATTTGAATGAATCCAGGCTGATCATTTGGCAAAGGTCAGAAACTTGAAAACTGATTAGCAGATACTTAACTTGTTTTTTTCTCTCTGAAGAGCTTCAATTCTTCAAATTTATGAGTTATGTAAACAATGTTCAGTGTTTTATAACATAAACTCTCTCTTCAATAAATAGTTAAAAATTTATGTAGCTAATATACAGTTTAAAAACACCCAAACCTTACCACTGTATTTCAGGACAAAATCCAGCCTTCTTACCTATCTCCTGGAGGAGATTAGTTATCCTGTAAATTATGTGCAAGAGAGTTCTTTCCTTGGGGGCAGATGGTGCTGACTGCCGAGAAAAACAACGCAGGCTTAGATCCTGTTTGGCAATTCCCACTTCTTAAAGATACAAACATGCTGTGTCATGCCAGATGACTGCCAAGGCAAATGAGATTTCTGTTTTTAAAGGAAACAAATGTATAGGGAGACTGAGGATTGCTTGGCTGCTACTTGCTTAATTCCTTTGAATCAGTCAATCATGAGTTAAGTCCTATTTGCAACCATATGTTAAAAGTATCCTGATTTATGGAAAATCAGAGACTATGTAATAGGATTGATTATGAATGCCAGGTAGCGTTCAGATAAATCTTTCCATTTCAAATAGAACTTTTACACAACACTTTTAATGCATAAATTGTAGTTTGTATTTTTAAGTGAATTGCAGCTACCATTCTCTGATTTTCAAGACTTCATATCCTTTAAGCAACCTTTTGTTTAAATTTTTGGGGGTGTCAAATTAAGAACTATGTTCAAATGTTTCTCCATAGCTGTTAAGCTCTGCTTCATGCTTTTTTTCATGTTACAACCAGTGCTGCTAGTCCAGTTACTGGCTGGCACAGATCCCACTAAAACTGTAGCTGGCATCTTTTGACCTCATCCATTCATGTGAGCACGGAACCATTCATGGGATGATAAGTTTTTCTGGGAAAAGTATTACATGGTAATAAGATTGTAAGTAGGTTGGTGATGCTAATGCTTATTTGTTTGCACAGGACACATGGCAATGAACCACCACAAACCAAAGATGACCAAAAACAAGACCCTCAGCATCAAGAATGGTTTACTAAGTATTTTTCATTTTAAAGCAAACTATTTCCATCCTTCTCAGAATTATTATATAAATCATTCCTGTTTTCTTTGTAGGAATAATAATCCAATAGATTATTTAAGGGAAGAAAAAAACCCGTGTAATTTCTAAGTAAAGTTAGGAAATAGCTGCACTTTCTTACATCTACTAACTATGGAGTTACAGGCATGAATTTCAGGAAAATGCATTTTTTTTAACAACTTCTGTAAAAAATGAAGGAAAAGTCTGGAAACAGTTATATGAAAAGACTTTTTAATGAAGAGGCTGTATCACTCCACAATTTCATTAAATATGGAATTTGGACTCTGATATATTCTGTCAATTTGGCAGCAGGTGAAAAAAAAATCTTCCTTCTGTACAGTTATACGCTGGATTCATCAGCTGTTTAAAGTAAGTTCTGCATATAACAATATAATTTTAAAAGTTTTTAATGCTTTTTGTTAAATAGATTTTAAGATGGACAGCATGTGGTACACTTTCAAAAAGAGCATGTTCATAGCAAGCTGGTTTAGAAATAATTCCTGGTTTGCTTCATAAACTGCTTTGTATAGTCAGCACTGCTATGTAATACTCCCATTGAATTTCAATATATGTATCAGCCTGATAAATTAGGATGATGTGCAAGTGTGAACATTAAAGCTTGTAAATTATCCAATTTCTATGTTTTTCAAGAGTTCTATGTTATGCTGAAGTAAGACTTGTACACTGAGTTCCAGAGTGATGGCAACTGCATCCTTCTACCTTTTAACTCCATACTAGTTTTATGCCCACATAAAAGCAAAATGGGGGAATGACTACATTTATCAGATCATGCCAATTCATTGCTAGCAGGAAAGAACCCATGAAGAAGTTGACTCTTGGGCAATTAACCCAGTAAGTGTGAAAGGTGGGGAACTGTGCAACCAGCAGCTTGCTGCCTAAGACAGGATAGTTCCTCTTCAATTGCTTTGAATCCCCATTACGTTTCAACCATCAGGGCCCAGCTACCTAAAAAAATTTTACATGCGCAAAGAGGTGTATCTCCAGCCTAACCTCTTCTTACACCCAACAGCCAGCAACAGCTACACCACCAGATGCAAACAGTCCACACAAAACTGCACTGCATCTCACTGGTGGTGCAAAGGTGGAAGGAAGGGCAGAACACTTCTACAGGCCAATACTTTCCATTCCAGTTATCTAGTATTCTTTCCAAGAGGAACTGCTTTGTTGGAAAAGTGACTTTGGCAGTAGATATGGCAAAAAGGCACTTTTCATACTTGTAATCAAGAAACAGATTCAATAGTGTACAGTAATACTGATGAGTACCTTGGCATCTGTGAGGACTGAAATGTACAGCGCTGTTTTCATTACTTTTCATCCACACTGCCTCAAAGAAAATGGAAATTTCAACACACAATTAGCAATTCTTATTTCCAGGGGTACAACAATTAATTATCCAACTCTGCCCCCAAAAAAGTATATGTAGAAAAGCGGTTATATGGATGAATTAAATTTGTTGCTTAGTAATACACAGACAGGACTCTTTTTGGAGGTCAGACAGCCTCCAAAATCTTTTTTGGCTATATTTATCTTACTAAATGGAGCAGTGCAATAGAAGGTAATTCTGTATAATAGACAGTAGTGGTGATCCTACCTCCACAATGAGTGTCTATATTTTGGGGGCAGGTATTTTGGAACACCTCTTCAGTAGCCTGAGACTCAGAACATCAGTAACATGAGGCTTACATTACATATGCCACCCTTTTGTGTGCGTTCTTCCATTCCAATTCATCTGTAAGAACCAGATTTGTATCTCTCAAGACACCTTCCATGAGGTGAGGAAGTCTGCTAGAGAGTGACAATTCACTTTAAAAAAAAGTGATCTGACCTACATACAGACAATTCTAAGGGTGTTTCTGCAGTGGTACTCATTGATAATTACTGGATCACAAAACATTTAAATATCCCAGAAAAATCAAACACTATCTTTGCAAATATTTTGATCATACCAAAAAGACAGAGGGGAAAGCAAGGGCCACCCTCTCTGGAAGGAACAGAATGCACCTGAAAGCACCCTGAACAGCAACTCTGAATATTTTCCATAACCACATAAAATCAATCCATATTTCTGTAATAAAAGAAAAAAAGAAGAAAATTAATTTGGCTTAACTGTTTTAATTATATTTGCAGTACAAATTACATTATACAAAAAGCATACAAAGAACACCATTGCTTTGAAAATATTGAGCTGTGTAAACTGAAGATTATGTTTGCTTCATTGGAGCAGGAATATTCGCAGATGCTTGTTCTAGGTAAGCTAATGGACCTTGAGGCATTTCTGCAGGCTTTTTGTGCTGTACACTGATGTCTTCCAGGACCTGTTGCCAGTGTCTCAGTTTACTCAAATGCTTCTGAATTAATGCTTCTTTTCTCTGCAATTCATTTCTTAATTCTGAAACATCCTAAGGATGAAAAAATTGTGTATTAGTAAATAGACAGTATTCAAAAAAATAACCACCTCACATAAAGAGTATGTAACATTTTTAGACCTTGAGCTTTCAAGCTGATCTTACAGTAGAAAAATGGAATACTGGAAAAGTGTCTAATGATACAGAGGGGACGCACTGTGAATGCACTAGTGCTGCTCACCTATGTCACATATTTCAGAGATCATCATCCCCAGTGAAATCTGACTAACTATTTTGTCTCTTCCAATGGTTATCAACTGTTCTCCAATATTCCACACAGCAGCAGGTATCCAGCTTCTCCAGGTTTATGGTGAGAGTTGTGGTAACAGTCAAGTTCTACCAACTTAAGGTACAGCATCATGTTGAGAAACCCAAAATTATGAACACAGTGATTAAGGTGCATAGCTTATCTGATCTAGCACAGGACAGGTAAATTAACATACCTCTTTAATTACTTGTTCTGGTTTCTGGACTGAAAGTTGCAGTCTTTTTTGTAGAAAAAAGCATTCAGTTTGTCTTGCAACATCTAGGAACTTTTGGATGCACTGATCAACACCTAAACATGTAATAACAATATTGAAAGAACAGCTTCCAAAAAAAATATTTCAGGCTAGTAAAGGTACTGGTCTATTAAAAACACTTTTCACAGTACCATCTAGAATGAAAAATCTTCAGAATATCTAAAGTAATGGATTTATAAACCAGTAAGTCCCGGTATAAGACAGTGCTTTATAAACTTACAAGTTATTTTAGAAGTGCAGGACAACACTTCCTTACAGGTTTACTTCTGACAAGTAGTAATAAAATAATTCATGGAACTTGGTTGCATGCCTAAACAACAAGCTCAGTGTAGGGTTCTAAAATATGTACTTATTGAGGAGAATATTCTGCCCTCGTATGCTGCATACTACTGTTTTAGTAATAAAAGCTGTTCCACGCCAACACAGGAATATGACCAAATAACCAAAAAGGAGTTTTGAAAAGCATTTATGCCGATTTTGAAACGCCATTTGAGTGCAGTTCAGAAAATTTCCAGGGACAACTGCACTTCTAAGGAGTAGTCAAGGCCACTTTTCAAACTCTTATTCATAACTATATTTATTCCACCTCGCCCTAAAGCACCGCTACTGAGCTGCCTGGCCTGGCTTTTTCCCATTTCCTGTTACTGCTTCATAATCTTCCCAATGCTGCATGCACAGCTTCCCAATGTATCCCATCACCTCCCCGGTGCTTTACACGCATGTCACCGCACGCCAGTACAAGCCCACCGAACCCCAGGAGCCAACCGGCACACTCCGCCCTTCCCACCAGACCCTGGGCATTCCCGGGCAGGCTTCTTTCCTGCCGCTGCCCCCAGCAGCGTCCCCCGGGAAGGGGCCTGCCCCGGGCTCACCGGTGCGGATCTCCTCCTGGTCCGTGCCGTTCACGTAGTCCTGGCTCACCAGCGAGGCGAAGCAGGCCTGCGGGAGAGGGAAGCACCGCGCTGAGCGGCTGCGGGGAGCCGGCGCAGGCAGGCCAGCGCCCGCCCGCGGCTGCCCCCCTCACCTCGAAGGACGCTTCCAGCTCGTCCACCAGCGTGTTGTTGGGGTTGCGTGGCCCCGCGGGCGGCGGGATGAGGCCGGGCGGGCCGGGCGGCCCCGGCGGCGGCGGCCCCGGGCCCTGGGAGCCGAACATCCCGCCCAGCGCGCCCGCCATGGCGGGAGCGGCGGCGAAGGCGCAGGCGGCGGAGCGGGGCGGGCCCGGCGCGACCCCGCCCGCTGAGGGCCGGAGCGTCAGGCAACCGCTGTGTGTGGGCCAGGTGATGGCCATGGCTCCTCGGCCTGGCACGGGGCACCACTGAGAACAGCCTGGCACCACTCTGTTGCCACCTAAGAGATATTTTAATGTATTGATGAGACCCCTTTTATGCTTCTCCAGACTAACCAGACCCAGCTCCTGCAGTCTCCACTCATAAGAGATGTTCCAGATGCACCATCCTCCTCTCACAGCCCTCTGCTGGACCCTCTCCAGTAACTCCACGTCCTTCTTGCACTGATGAGCCCAGAACAGGACAGGACAGTCCAGAAATGGCCTCACTAGGGCAGAGGAGGTGGGAAGGAGATCACCTTCCTCAAGCTGCTGGCCACACTATTCCCTCTTCAGCACAGGACATTGCCCGGCTAGAACAAGGCAAGCAGACGCAGCAAAGCATCCTTTGCAGAGGGACCTTCCTCCTCCAGCCTTGGCCCTGCCTCTGTCTCACAGGTGTGAGCTCACAGATGTTTCAGCATCGCTTGTTCCACAACAGCATTTAACAAAAAACCCCAAAACCCTAAACCTAGGGTTCCCCAAACTATCAAGAAAATATCACCCCAGATTTTAAGTGTCAGGTCTGTTTGATGTTTGAATTGATCCTGGGAAGAATGTCCCTACTTGGAGTGTGGCCACATCACATCAGGAAAAGGCGAACTATCAGGATGACAAAAACCTTGTGAGATGAGGGCAGGTGCCCCTAAAAAACACACAAACATTAACTTTCACTCACAAGCTTTCTGTAAAAAAGTTACAAT